CTTTATGGTAAAGCACTTTAGAACAAATGCAATGAATTTTCCTATATCGAAGAAAGTACACAATTTATAATATCCATCAAGACAATATTTCTATCAAAAATTATTATGATGTTTTTTAAAATAACTAATTAATATCCGGAAATTATAGTTTTTATTTGCGTGAAGATATTCGATAAAAATAACTATAAGTTTTTTTGAAATATATAAAATAAATATGATATAAAAACTAAAAAAACTATTTACAATAACCTTTGAATTTAAATATATTTTTTAAACTAAAAGATTTAAACTTGTATATTAATTTGAAATTATTATTAAAAAGTTGTAAAGTAAAAATTCTAATAACTCTCATAAAATCATTGCCCTAAATAAATAAATAAAAAAATTGATTGCACTACTTACCAACATCACATCAACATTTTTTAAATTGTCATGTTTTTTTTTTTTTTTTCTTTAAATGCTCATCTCTTCAAAATATAAATATTTAAATTTTAAATACTTTACAGATTAAAACTGAAAATAACTAGTTTGGTTTCTTTTAGATATAATATATACCTCCTTTTTTTATTTAAAAGAAGAAAATAGAGTATTTTGTAGTGGGTATCGCCCAGAGGCATCAAACTTCACACATGGGGGATGTCGCAGTCTTGTTGAAAAGAAGGGCCCCCATCACATGCTATTCTTCCCTACTTTTAGGGGTGGAGGTGCGTGATCCGACGCCGTGGATTTTATTAGCCGCGTGAACTCTTTCATCGTAGCCGTTACCCGGCAGGCCGGAGTGGACCCTCCCATGGTATTCCATACCCGACGGCTTCCTTTCCTTTGTCTGTCCCATGTTCCCTGCTTTCTTTACACGTCACCAAAACCTGTCCCTCCTTTCCCCCACAACTTTACCTGTATTATCTAACAACATGTCTCCTTTAACACCAACTTCTCTACGCGCCTTTTACTCGCGTCACACTTAAAATCTTCTATTACATGAAATAGTAACTAAATTCCAAGTACCTTTGTTTATATTTAAGTATTATTTTGATCGTTTTTTCAACTAACATATTGGCTCATCCGCTAATAATTGTGTAGCCAGTCTCAACTTCAAATATTGAGGGTTTCAATCAAGGATTGGTCAGGAAAATAGTGCACTTTACAGTTCTAAAAGTGGTTATTTAGTAGCATCGCCAAAAACGACTCTTTCTAGCTTTTTTTAAACCTTGCAATTTGGAAAACTCATTATGATGTTTTCGAGCTCCCGTGTTTGTTTAGCCAGGACTGTCAATGAGGAGAACAAGTAGGGATCGATCCATTGTAAGAGATCATAAGGGTTCGAAACGGGAGAAACTGTATGACTTGGCTTTGTTTATGGATGACATATAATGAATATCCATGTCTAATAAAAGAAAAAAAAAAAAAAAACATTATTCACTGTTTATCATAAACATATAGAGCAGGTAATCTTTTTTCACATTACATAGAACTTGAGCAAAAAGACATAGAGTTTTATAAGAATAGAGCAAAAATAAACCTGAAAGGTTAAATATTTTCAAAAAAACAAAGTTTTGAGGTATAAGGAAACAAAACTGAAATTTGACTACTATTTTATGTATTATCCTTATAGTAAAATGTATAAATTTAATGCCTAATGTTTACTTATAGATATGGAAATTGTAGTTTAATAGTTTAATACTTAATACATATATTTATGATTTTTTTTTTATGTTTAATTTGATTCTTTAATTAAAAGTAGTCAAGTTTTAAGAAATATTGAATAACTAACTATTGTAACAAAATTGATTTTTAGATCAATATAAAATTATTTATGTGTATTTGATCCCAATAATTTTGTTAGAACAGGTGATTCTTATTCTTGGATGCCACTTTAAATCTATAATCATAATCCACCCCCTCTCCTCAATATGCCATAAGCTTATTCCTTTATTTAATGTTTTTTCTTTTATATAAAAAACAACAAAAAAAACTTTATAAGAATTTTTTGGATTACTTTAATGTACAAAAACGCCGGATCTTATATATATTACTGTTTATGAAACTGTAATTAACTAATTATAGACGCCACAACAGAACTTCATTGGAGAATATCTTGTGAAATGTTACACATTTCAACCAATTCTCATTTTAGGTTAAATGAATTGTATATTTCACCCATTTCAAGAAAACACAATATTTCTTATCGATGTATAACTGATTTACTTTCCGTTAATTAATATATAATTTTCACATAATTGTTACATTAATTATATCACAATTTATTGGTCAAACAAATTCCAATGATTGAAAATTACAACATGCTATTAATTATAATAAAAATATATCACTATAATCTAAATTGGTTAAAAATATGCTAATATAGTTTTTTTCTTTTCTGTTTCCTATGTGCGAGTGGGCATCAATATTCTTTGTCATGAAATCCATGCACAAAGAGAATAACTCACTTATATCATGTCCCCAACCCTAAAACCTTTCTATATAAAACTCCTATTCTGCCACTAGATTACAACCCACAACACAAGTTGATCAATTCTCTCTCACATTCACATAACAAACACCGCCGGAAAACTCAAGAAACCCGCCGGAAATCCACCAATTCCGTCCAACCACCGTCACAGATCTAGTCACGTATTACAATGGATCAAAAGATAACTTGTTTGAACCTTTTTGAGAATATTGATCTCGCAACCGAGCTCAAATTAGGATTGCCGGGAACCGACGACCAGCCGGAGATGAAAATGAGCTTTTCCGGCAACAAAAGGAGTTCATCGGAGATGGGATCAAGCACTTGCACAGATGAAAATGAATCAAGATTTTCACCACCCACCAAGTAAGTTGCATACCCCATGCAAACTTTAGAATAAATTCCATATTAATTTTGATCATGACACCCATATACGTACAGAAAACTTATAGTGGTGATTAATGGCTTTCAGGGAACAAGTTGTGGGGTGGCCACCGGTGAGATCTTACAGGAGAAACGTGCTTCAAGGAAATTATGTGAAAGTGAGCATGGATGGAGCTCCATATCTGAGGAAAATAGACCTCAAAATGTACAAAAGCTACGGAGAACTCATGAAGGGTTTGCAAGAGATGTTTAAGTGCATCATAGGGTTGTACTCTGAGAGGGAAGGGTACAATGGGTCAGAGCATGCACCAACTTATGAAGACAAAGATGGAGATTGGATGCTTGTAGGTGATGTTCCATGGGAAATGTTCATAAGTTCTTGCAAAAGACTTAGAATCATGAAGGGTTGTGAAGCAAGGGGGTTGGGTGATTCTTTATAACTAGATCAAGCACATTAATTTTCACAAATTAATTAATAAATTTAAATTAATATATATATACACGAAAAATATAAGGGTTTTCGTTTTTTTCATGTAAGACTCGAGAGAAATCACATGTTTGAGGTTTTGGAATTTTTAGGAAGAGAATTAGCAAAAACTTATACATATAATTTGTTTGTGTTGTGATCCATGTAAAATGATCATGCAACATTTTTTTCCATGTAATTCTTGATGTTTAATGGAAGTAAATATCAATACTCGCGTTTAATTTTCACGGTGATTTGTGTTTGTTTGTTTGTTCTTTGCAAAATTATATATTAGATTTAATAAGATCTCAAATCAAAACTGTATTTTGTTTATAAAAAATAAATCAATAAAAAACCTTGAAAATTTTGATATATTTAGCTAGAAACGGGTCAATATGAATTACATCGGATATATGGGCTGTCACATTTTATATATAATTGTGGATATATGTTTATTAATTAAAATAATAACCGAATTTCTAACGGTTTATATAGAATTTTTTTAATTGCAGCTTAGAATTGCATCACAATTTTATAGTCTAAAGTCTAAATTACTAACGGGTTGTAAATTTGTAATAACCTTAGAGTAAATTACAACTTAATCGTACATGGTATATTAAAATTAGGTTTGGTCCAAGTTCCATTTTTATCCACATAACTTTTATAAATAAATAAATAAACATTATATCTAAGATCATCTGTAATGGTCATCACAAATTGGGTCGTAGTCTAGATGGTCACGATCGTGGTCCGTGCACACTGGCCCGCACCTTCATAGTGGGGCGTGGTCATGGTGTTTAGTGATACCAAAGACGACCTACAACGCCTAATGAAAACCACTTGCTCTTTGGCTTTTCCTTGACCATCTAACGGTTACTTTGGATATTTTTAGTTTTTTATTAAATTTTACCTTTATAAATTCTCCTACAAACCACATTATTTTTCATATAATTTTTCTCCTTTTACTCACATTCATACATTTGTATAGTTCACAAAATGATAAATTAGTCGGAAAAGGAATAAGAGAAGTTAAGACTAGCATGAGTGTCAACTTCCGAAGACAGAGTTAGTCAAACCTCTAGAGATTTTTGGGAAAAAGTCTGAAGCATTTTCTATAGCTTAATGGGTTCTGTAAGTCGAAATCCCGACGAAATACGTTTGAAGTGACGTGATATGAAATTAAAATGTTGTTAATTCAATGGAATTTACAACATGGTAAACAACCAACACGAAAACGATATTAATGTGGTTAGTATTTTCATGCATCAATATGAAAGCACAACCTTTAACATTTTTAACCAACACGAAAAAGATATTAATGTGGTTAGTATTGCCATGCATCAATATGAAAGTACAATCTTTAACCTTTTTCACGTCTCAAAGTTTGATTAAAGTTGAAGGATTGTTAAAAATGAAAAGAATAGTTTTTTTTATGTATAAATTTTTATGTTTTCCCAAAATAAACTAGGATTGTAGGGGTATAGTTTATTTTATGTTTGAACTTTTTATGTTTTCTTGCATTTTATTTTATACTTTCGTTCTTTTTTTTTTTTTAAATTAGTGTAACGTGTTTTTTTCTTGTTGTTGAATGAAAACTAGTTTTTTTTTTTTTAATCTGTATTTTATTGTATTTTTTATTTAATTTTAATTAAAAAATAATGTAAAGTGGTATGTTATCGGTAA